GAAAGAATTTATATGCGTGCCTCTGAGTCAGACATACTTTCTGCTAAAGTGCTATTAGAAGCATACAGCTTTGAAAATGTGGAGTTTTGCTGTATTTTTCAGGAAATGTGTTTCAAAGGAAACCCTAGACTGAAACCTCTGCTTGCTCACTAGCTTTCAAATACTCCTGCATCCTTCTTGCTGCCTAGAAGTTTTTATCCAGGCATTATAGGTCTTCTCTGCTACCGGAAAATGGGCTCTGTGTATTGGGTTGTGTCTAAATCTCCAGAAACTGGAGGAAGGGACAAATGGATTTTCTCCAGGTTTACTTTGTCAGGCTGCGGATGGAGATAGAGGTGATCAGTGAGGAAGCTGCAGCTAGAAATGGCCAGAAATAGTAGGAAATGCTACCTCATCATTATTACTGTAAGGGTGAAGAGGAAAGTGTTCCCCATCCCTTTGGATTCTTCTTGGGGTGTTCAAGCAATCACCTGACATCAGATGGATTAATAGGAGGAAAGCCAAATTTAGTTACATATGTACAGAGAATCCATATAGATGTGGATTCTTTTTTTTTTTTTTCTCCAAAGATTTATTTTATGCATGCAAACACTGGCGTATAGGCCAGAGGTGTGTTTTGGGGGGGGGGGGTGAGAGGAGTCACCAGAGACAGACTGGGGAGCAGAAAAGGCAGATTGACTGAAATACACTGCTGAGGGGAGCAGCGGGCGAGACAGGAGAGGTCTGCTGCTCCATGTGGGTAGCTTCCTGGCGGGGGATACAACTCATGCTGCAGTGGCTGCAGATTGCTTTGTAGTGCGGAGACTTAACCCCTTGCGCCATCAGGGAGGTCCTGGAAGTGGATTCTAAAGCCAATGGTGTAAAAAAAATATGCGTATATCCTGAGCTAAGGGATGGGCCAGAGACCTGAGGTTTCAAGGAGAGAGGAGGGGACTTGCATGGTCAGAGAGGCTGACTCACATGACAAGCATCAAATGCTCCGAAGTTAGATGCTTGTCCTGCATATAGATAAATTTCTCTGATGGTGAGAGGAACTGAGACCAGGAGAACTTGGGGAACAGGAAAGGCTGAGACACAAGACAGTGATTTTATTTTATTTATTTTATTTTTTAAAATTTTATTTTATTTTATTTTTTTTAAAGATTTATTTATTGATTTATACATGCACTGGGTGCAGTCAGAAGTGCAGGAGGTGAGAGAATTCACCAGAGCCAGAGCGGGGAGCAGAGCAGGCAGAAGGACCGAAGGACACTGCTGAGGGGAGCAGCAGGCGGCAGGAGAGGTCTGCGCGCCATGTGGGACCCTCCTCCAGTGGCTGGGGAGCAGCTGGGGATCGAACCAGCGCTGCAGAGGCTGCGGGCAGCTTTGCAGCCCAGCGATCAACCGCTGCGCCACCGGGGAGGCCCCAAGACAGTGATTTTAAACAATACAGGAACAGAAGGAACAAAACAGCTCCCAGGAAAATAGAAGTGTTTTACTGAAATGTTGCTGAGCTAGCCACCACCTAGATAAGATCAGGTTACAGAATAATTAGGGAACAGTAAAACCACCACCAGGAAAATCCCCTAGTGCCTAATCGATGGTCTGGCACATTGGGCAACAGGAAGTCTGACAGTATATAGTTATAGACAGGCAGGAGTAAATGGGCATCCTCCCTTGGACCCCGCTTGGAGGATGGAGTTTGTTCATCTTGCTTCAATAAATCCACACTTGCTTACTCTCACATTAAGCATGGCGCCTGTTATCGTTCAACTGGTGTAAACATCCGGACCCACGAGCATCCACTCTCCTACCAATAGGAAGCTTATTTCTGGTAAAAATCCTAAGTCTGGATGATAACTCTAGTTTCCCTTCTTTTAGGTAGTTAAGGGAGTGGCAAAAGTTCCTCCACACCTCTGGCCTATACTGCAGGGTCTCAGTTGACCAAAGCTCAAGATAATCCACCTGCCAAAGTGACTTGTCTTGGGAAGGCCTGTCTGAGCATCTTGGGGAGACCTAGTCTTCATGAGCTGTAGCCTGTGGAAAGGGAGCCAGACTCACTGTATTGTCTTTACTTATTATGTCACCACGCCCACGGCAGCCAAGGTCTCTGAGGTGGGTCCCAGTTGCACACAGATATCTGATCTCAGCATGTTGGCAGTGGTGTCCTCAGCCTTCTGCATTTGCATTCCTCTCTACCTCCAGTCAAGTTATTGTGGCTTATGTTTGCCAATGTCCCTGCTGCTTCAACATTTTGGGTTTCCTTTTCTCTTTACTCTCTCCAGATACTCATCAAGGGTGGCGTCCCGCTGGTTAAGAAGGTCTTATTTCCATTTAACCCTACCTGCTTCATATTTTCCAGAGCCCCAGTTTCTAGCAGTAGATAGAATCCTTTCTTAGTTTCCAGCAGAGATGTGGATTTCCCCTTAGAATCTGTGCTAGAATCTTTGGTCAATTCACTTGGAATTTGGAATAAGAGGTGGGAGGAGAGTGCACTCCAGTGAAATTAGTGGACTCAGATTCCCCTCATGGATTGAGCTCTCTGCTACATTTTTAATTCCCAGGTGCATCTGTTCTTTTTAAATATTACGTTCCTTGATTATATACTTCTCTGATTCATCAGAGTCTTGCACGTAAGGCAGTTGATAAATATTTGCTGAGGGAATGAACTGAATGATTGGATTTAAAGAGTATTTAATTGACTGTCAACACAGAGATGGCCCCCACATTGAAGACACAGCTTTTCAATCTTGGCTTTCTCCTGGTTACTCACAAAGTTAGAAACTGGTTGTTAAGTAAGACTAATTTATGTCCTGTAATGCTTCACATCTTCCTGACTCAAGGCTGAACTAGGCCTGGTTACTACTGCATGTGCGAACAGAGAATTGCTGTGGGACAAAGACACCTTACCCAGGAGCAAACTCCACAAATGGCTCCCCATGCAGAACCCAGCAGGAAAGATGCAAGAATGACAATAAGGTTACTTGGCAGGTCCTGAGCTATGGAGAAAGAACAATTCCTGACAAAATGAGGAGGTTGAAGCAGTTTGGAGATTAACAAAAAAAAAAAAAAAAAAAAAAAGAGAGAGAGAGAAGAAGTAAAAAGCCCTTCCTGTCATTCTATTGCAGGGAGCGATATTCGAATTTTATCTGGTGGATGTGATTCTCTTTGATCAGGTTGGCCGTTTGAAGGGATTTGGAGCAGAATAGATAATCCGAACTTTGAGCATAAATCAGGGGCTGTGGACTGATGGATGCCTGGCACTTTCTTATGATAATGTATGATTGGGGGATGATGGGAAAATACCACTGCCTTATCTCAGTGCAGCAGCAGCCAAGGGGGTGGGGTGGGTGGGGAAAGAGTCTTGAGTCTAAAGGGAAGAGGGAGTGGGGGTATAATAATAATGTTTTTTTTTTTTTTTTTTTTTAAAGAAATTGTGAAACTGAGCTAAAAATGCTCTGGGCCCTGGTTTGAAATGTAGCTTTTGCAAAAGGGATGGTGGCAAAGCACCAAAACAGCTGGACAAAAAGCAGAGGTGACTGGCAATCCTCCCCCTTGATTGTGTCGTTTGCTGTTGCTAGAATTTCAGGGAACACTGGCTGCCTGAACCTTATTTCTGGAGACCCCTTAGGTGTGAATGGAAAACTCCTGCCTGCTTCTGGTGGCATCTCCTGTAACACCAATACTTAGGGAAATACTTGTCATTGTGTGTGTGTGGGGGGGAGGGAGCTGCATGCTCTGTGGTCTAGGGTGATGAGGTACTCAGGGGAGGACCGAGGTTGGCACCTGGGCCCCTGGCACTGTCCAGAGTCATGCCATTCTGCACTAGAGCAATTAAAGAACTGTGCCTCCTCAGTCTTCAGTGCATAGTACTCCATTGTTATAATCACACAGAAAATGGAAACTGGTGTGATACTAAATATCTAGTATATTACCACTGGTTTAATATATTTAAACCATGCAAACTGACTGAATGCTTCCACATGGCCTCTGCCTGTATGAGGTGCCTCTCATCCACCTCTAGGTCACATGTTCATTGCCCGCCCTTTTACTAAGGGCAGGGAGCATAAGGGGCAGTGGGAACAACAGGTGTTTTAAGTTAAGAAATGCAATCAAGGGCATCCCTGGTGGTGCAAGGGGTTAAGCACAGCACTACGAAGCAATCCACAGCCTCTGCAGCATGGGTTTGATTCCTGGCTGGCCAGAGAGCAACCCACATGGCACAGTAGACCGCTCCTGTCTCGCCCGCTGCTCCCCTCAGCAGTGTGTTTCACTCAGTCTGCCTGTTCTGTTTCCCACTCTGTCTCTAGTGAATCCTCTCACCCTCCCGCACGTCTGGCCTGTACCCCAGCTCTTGTGTGCATAAATAAATAAATCTTTAAAAAAAAAAGAAATGAAATCAAGTGGCCAATTCCTTTGCAACATCCAGGTGCAAACAGCCCCATTGACCGAAAATTAGGCCCCATTGACCAAAAATTAGACCCCAAATTAAGTTACTGTTTAGTCTGACTTAGTCCATGAGGCACATACTCACCGTTGAACGGGTGGGCAGTGTCAGATTGTAGGGTAAGGAAAAATGTCAGGCTTTTCTGCCCTCCCGCCATCAGGATAGATGATGGATCCTTGCAGTCCTGAATGCATGCCTGATGGTGGGCACCTGGAATAGGGTGTGGGCCTAGGTAGATGGGATTCACCTGGGTTAAGACTGTCCTTTTGGGGGCGGTATCACGGGGACGCCAGCAGCAGCAGAAGCCGAAAGAAAAGAAGCCCGAAGCAGAACCAGAGAAGGCCAGAGAGCCCAGATAGAGTGAAGATTTGCTGGGGGCTGGGAGGCTGGCAGTCCTCCAGCACCCCTGCCTGCCATGTTCCCACTGAACCCCAATAAAAGACCTGCAAAAAACCACTGAGGACTCTGACTCCTCCTTTACCCAGTCTACTGGATCAGAAAACCTGCATTGTGGGCAGTTCTGCCCTTACACAGATCCAAAAAAGTGGTCCCTTTGAGGGACTTCTCTTATAACTAGAAGACTGCTGGGCAGGGATTCAAGTGACAAGCATTGATTTGAAAAGCTCCTTAAATGCTGGTGTTGATATTTCTGACCTTTGTCCCAGTTCTTGTTCGGTGACCTTGGAGGGTAGTAGATCTGAATCATGGGGTCTTTCATATTTCTGAGAGAAGACACCAAGCCAGGGGAGAGGACTCCTCTCACTCATCTTGCTGCCTGAACATGAAGCTGCTGAAAAATAAAAACCAATGAGCACCGCTCTCCCTATGACACTTCCTTATCCTTGTGTAGATGATGTTTAATTTCTTCCAGGAATAATGTCAACACAAGAAGGGAACCATTTCTAAGTCTTGCATCTCCATCTAAACAGCAGTGCAGAATTCATTAGCAGCTAACATGTATTGCATGTATTGCTTCCTCCAACTATTTTAGATGCTTTTATGCTTTATCTTATAAAACCAAAAAGGGAAAGAAGGCATAAGATGCAAAAATCTCGACATGACTGCAGAGTTTAAATGCTAACACAGAAATGGTTTAAGAGAAATCATCTCAGTCCTTTCCTCAGCTGTTTCCTCAATCTCTGTGCCACTGGGCAAGGAACTCCAGTGAAGGGGGAGAATTGTTTTTTTGAATCTTCAAAGTTTGTAAAATCTTTCCCCCTCCATCCCCATGCTGGATTTGTGCAGTCCTACATCTCTGTAAAGGATCACAAATTTCTTTTGATTTAATAATATGGTCAAAACTGAAAAAGTAAGAGGATTCATTTGTAACTGTTAAGCTAGTTCAGAAAAGTGGAATGAACCTACAGAAAGAGAAGCTCAGGGCAGGGTCCTTTTTTTGATGATCATAGAACATTCACAGATCCCAGATAAGACCACTGGGCAGGCCTAGCACAATGCTTCCTGAACATTTCTATTTATATATGAAATGCCCACCCTTTACATTCACCTTCCAAGGTGGGAAGAGGCTTGGAGAAGGAGAGGCAAACTGAGAAGAATTAGAAAAGGAAGCTACTACATACTGATAATCATAGCAGGTCAGCAGAGGGAATCAGACCATTGCAGTGGCAACAAAATAGAGGGCCCACTGATGAGAAAGCCTCCAGCCTGGGAAAGACTAAGGTCAACCAAAGAAGATGATGGTGACCCACAGCAGATGTGATTCAGAGAGAAAACAAGTCAAGGGTGCAGGAGAAACAAGATGGCAATTGCTAGTCTTGTTTCTCTGCCAGTGAGACTGGAGAGGGCTCCAGCAACATGTAGTAGGGTAAGGAAACAAACCCCGAAGACAGGGGCCAGATAGACATCTGAGATATGCATGCTGGGGACAGTTCAGGTAATCAACGCTTGATTCTTTCTTGCCTTGGTGCTCCCTGGGGTGGGTCAGCTGTCGGGAGGTGGGCAGAGGTATCTGGAACTAGAGGAAGCCCCGAAAGTATCCTGTCAGCAGCCTGTAAAAGATTCATGTTTGAACAAAGAACTAGGGTGCCTCTTGTTCTCAGGGCCCCTCAGCCAGCCCTTTCAAGGGAAGTGATAACGTACCAGTGGTCCTAAGTGAGGTGAACGGGGTTCCTTTCCTTTCATTTTTTCTTGGGCTTGAGGTTGACCAGAATTCTGTAATTGAAGTCTCAGCATTTCTGTAACTGAATCGCCCAAGTATTTTGACACTTTATGTAAATTTAAATTCATAACAATCCTGCGGTATTTCAATGATTCCCAAGAGTTTAAGAAAGGGCAAGGTGTCGACTAGGAATATTTGCAAAACTAAAATCCTGCAAAGTTCGCTGAGCAAAGTAGTAAAAAGATGGGGGTGAGGCCTGAACTTTCCAGCTCCCAGTGTTTATAGTGCAGCTAATATACTTTTAGAGTGATTTGCCTCTACTGGCACTCTTTTCTCCAGCTCAATAATAGCTCTTTCGTCCTTTTAGTATCAAAATCCCTGTCACTTCAGGGCAAATGTCCTCTCTGTCATTTGAGGGGTCTCTTATCTTCACAGGTAGAGATGACCTTTCCTTTCCCAACTGCCCTGACTCCCACCCTGCTTGTTCTGTACCATTTAAAGGTATTTCTTAACATTCTTATTTAGAATCATTATTTATGTACATCTGAGTTTCCTTCTAGACTGTTATCTCTTTAAAAGAGGATTATATATTGAAAAATATATAGGAAGTCAAAAACCTTAGGAAGACATAAAAATGTAGAAGAAAATTTAAAAAAAAATCTGTTGACCACACAAATAATGTCATTAAAATATATATTTTTTAAACAAGATTCTGGAATCCTTTTTTTAAAAAAAAAAAAAGATTTATTTATTTATTTATGCATGTAAGAACAGAGGTACAGGCCAGAGGTGTGTGTGTGGGGGGTGAGAGGATTCACCAGCGACAGAATGGAGAACAGAACAGGCAGACTGACTGAAATACACTGCTGAGGGGAGCAGCAGGTGAGGCAGGAGAGGTCTGCTGCACCATGTGGTTAGCTCCCTGGCTAGGGATTGAACTTGTGCTGCAGTGGCTGCGTATAGACTCATAGGTTGCGTCTTAACCCCTTGCACCACCAGGGAGGCCCTGATTAGAATATTAATGAATGAAATTTCTCAACATATGGCTTTATGAAAATTAGTGTCATGTATCAAATAATGCTGCTCTAAGGACTTGTTCCATAAAAAGTGCTACTTTGTAACCTAAATTTGACCAGCTGAATGACTATTTCAGCGGAGAGAATTAATAGCTCAAGAGAAATGGGTTTAGATCCTGATATGCTATTAACTAGGTGGGCAACTTCAGATGATATATTTGACCTTCTATCTTGAATAGAATAAGTTGGTTGGATGAAATGACATTTGAGTTTCCTTAAAGAACTTTAAGAATTTGCTAATATACTTTTTGTATTAGTAAGGTTCTCCAGAGGAACAAAACTGATAGGACAGATGGATGGTGAATGTATGTATGTATGGATGGATAGATAGACAGACAGACAGACAGACAGACAGACAGACAGATGAACAGATTAATAAATTACTTCAGTAGGATGTGACCTGAGTCAACTTTAGGATAGAGCCACACATCTATCTTGACCTTTAGAGTGCTTTTGAATAGTCATACAAAAATTCCATTTGGAATGGCCATGAAAATCTAATCAAAAGTAGAGACTGCTATAAAGATGACTATAAAGTCTGAAAGAGTGAGCTAGGACAATCATTCCTCATTAATACCACAGTAAACATCCTCCTACAAAGTCAGACTTTTTTCTTCTAAGGTCTTAAGCACTTATTTAGAAATATTTGGCACTTGGGATGCATTTTTTCCTTATTTTCTATCTGACCATTTTCTATAACATTGAGCACTAGACACACATCTACAGATGAATAGGTTGGGTTATTTCTGGTTGCCAGGCAAGTTTCTAACTCCCTCAAGACCTAAGGAGTCCAGGCTACTCCTGGATACCAGGGACTGTCTTTTTCTCTTTCTTGTAAGTAAGGGCTCATTAGATAAATTATTTCTTAGTCTAATGGATGAGCTTAACCTTGAAATTAATTTTGTGGGCTAATGATAACAATTATGACTAGATATTTGACACTATAATCCTGGTAAATGAGGTAAACATCTCTACCAAATAGTCCTCACACACATTGTACAACTCTATGGATTTCATTAGACCCACATTTCCTTGTGGAAATGGAAAAATTGGAGCGTAATGGAAGATGGGGTACCCATTTAGCTATTTATTTTTAGAGTTCTGAACAATGAATTGGGTTAATGAACATTGATCCAATTGGATATTAAGTTGATGAGCATACTAAATAGCTAATGACCAATTTGTTATTTCAAATATCCTAATTGATGAGACCAAGTCAACTGATCAACGATTTGCTCCATTACCTTCAAATTTAACTACAATATCATTTAAAGCAAAACAAATAATCAAAGTTATGTGAATGGCCAATTCACTCTTCCCATTGTATATGTACAACCTATTTTTATTTATTTGGATGCTAGATCCACTTTGACAGATCCAGTGCAGCTCTTGATGCTTTGCATATTTTTTAAACCATCAGTATATCATCTTTAAAGTGAATCCCACCTCAATTTGTATCTCCAGGGGAAAATAGTGTTTGTCTTAAACAATAGTTTACTTATAAGAGAGAAAAAATCATCCATCATGGTCAGCTTCACTTTCTGACTAATTGCCTCATATTTAAAACGTTCCCCTTCCCACCTGCCTGTAGATAATATCAACTAAATTTCCCTGTATCACTCATTCCCTTCACCAAAGTGTTCATATTCTACAGATTCTACCTACTGAGGCAATTCACCCCCTAGTGTTTCTAAGGAAGCCTGAAATTAGCACAGCCTTTTCCAATTATTTGATCCTTCCAGAGTAAATCACACCATCTTTGTATACAGAAAGTGAGGTGCATCTTTATCATCTGATTCCCAAAGGTCTTATCTCCTCATTAATTCTGTTAAATGACTTAGTTATTCTTCAATTTAAGTAGAGATATGGCCAATTTAAGGTCCAGACAAATGTAATGTGTGATTCTTCACCATTACCCTCTACCCCCACCTCAAGTTTAATATGTGTGCTTGGGAAGTTGTTAGTGAAAAAACCCTCAAGACACTTTTTGTATTAGCCAGGTTCTCCAGAGGAACAAAACCAAAAGAATGGATGGACAGATGAATGGATGGATGGCTAGATAGATAGATAGATAGATAGATACATAGATAGATACATAGATAGATAGATAGACAAACAGAGAAGTGGAAAGATTTAAAAGGAAATTTATTCTAGGAAATGGCTCATGAAATTATGAAGATAGGGAAGTCCCGCTATCTGCCGTCTGCATGCTGGAGAACCATGAAAGCTGAAGATACAATTTACTCTGAGTCTGAAGGCTTGAAAACCAGTATTTCAAGGAAGAAGAACAAGGACGTTCCATTCCAAACAGAGAGCAAATTCACCCTCCTTGTACATTTTTGTTCTATTCAGGCTCTCAAGGAATTGAATAATATCACATTGGTGAGCTCAATGTTTACTTGATATACTGACTCATGTTCTAATTACTTCTGGAAACACTCTCATAAATACACTCAGAAATACAGGTACCTCAGAGATATTGCAGGTTTGGCTCTAGACCACCACAGTAAGTGAAATCACAACGAAACAAGGTACACTCCCAGTTTCTGGTCTTGTGACAGCTCCACCCCAGATTTTCTGCTCCCACCTTTCTCTTCCAGCACACATGTTCAGCCTTGTCTTTGTGACTGTCATGGCCATGCTCTGCTGGCAGGAGGAGCCCATGTGGTCCCCTGGGGACCTGTGACAGTGCCCCGGCTATGCCAAAATACTTACACTGCTTATCTAGATATTTCCTCCACATTACCTGCCCACCCTCTTAGGAAGGATAGCAAGAGCACTGGCATTTTATGTCTTCATCCCTCTCACTGTGACCCATGCCCCTACCCCTTACCAAGGACTTCCTTCACCTCTCCTGTGGGAGGCCTGTGACACATTCTTGAGCTAGCTGTTATCCAACTAAATTCCTAGGCCACGGGGCAAAATGAATGTAGGGGGACAAAAGGTATGGTGGGATGAGGGTACTGAAAAGAATTCAAAATCTTGATGGTATTTGCTTACAGGTGCAGGGTATGTTGAGGTTCCAGTTTCTCTGAGCGTCCCTGCTCCCAGGACTTCCTTGTCAAAGTGGAAATGAATGATATGGTACCGAAGATGTGGCCTCTCCAAGATGCTCAGACAGGCCTTCCCAAGACATGTCTCCTGGCAGGTGGATAACTCTACGTTGATGTCAATCAAGACCTTGCAGGCTCAGGATAAACTTTGACCACTCCTTCAATTGCCTAGAAGAATGAAAATGAGGGTATCACCCAGGACTAGGTTTTATCCAAAATAACATTTCTTTTGGAAAAATATATCTTTATAGCAGAGCAAACAGAACATCTGTAATTCATTGTAGGGGTCGGCCTCTCCTCATCATGTGAGTCTCCTCCTCCCTCCTTGAACCCCCAAGCCCCTCCCTTTCCTTAGCTCAAATATATGTATACGTCTTCATTTCCCCCGCTGCAAGCAAAATCCACACCCATGATGTGTGCCATTAAACATGGTCATTTTCTGCTACTAATCAGTCTGGTATTAATTTGATCATTCAACCAGCTAACCCAGAGGAGTGGGGGGACATTTCCTCTTCCTCCCAAGAGTAACTACCAAATAGAATAACAACCAAATAGCCCACCAGGGGCCTGGGGCTGCAGGGCCACCTCCAAAGCAGCTGGAAATGGAAATAGTGACTGGGGGAGTCTTTTGGAGTTTGTGTTTATCTTCGCAGCATCAATGAACAACAGGACACTTGGGACCAAAAAAACACTTTCATATTGGCATAATACCTGTTTTAGTCACTGCTATATCCCTAGTACCTGTGCCTGGCACATATTAGCCATACATGCGTGGAGTATAGGCATGAATGAGGCTAACATGGAGAAAGAGAAAGCACAGGACAGATACAGGAATGAGTGTAATAACAAAACAGTCGTAACATTACAAGGGAAGGGAAGGGAAGGAAGTCCTCCAGCGTGAGGGTTAGACAAACCCACCATCCCAACTGCCTCCATGTTAGGTAATTTTACCTTGATTCAGGAAGAATTCTGACCATGGTCTAGACTTGAGAGTCCTAATGATCCAGGATCCTTACCAATTCTGATTTTATTTTTCCTTTTATAACAATTTTTCCCACTAGCCAACACACAGCAGCTTCAAGATAAAGGCATTTCACTTAACATAAAACACCAGCTTTAAATAAATCCATGAGATTAGAGATGTATTTAAAAAGAAAAACAACAGCACTCAGCAAAGTCTAGAGAGTTTAGACAACACATATCCCACCTTTTTTCAGTAGACTGAAATCAAGCATTGCACATCCTTATTTCACCAATTAAAAGGACACATTAATCATCTTATTTCTTTTTGTTCTTATTTCATGTTATTCCGACTCCTCCCCATTTTTCCGGCGGATGCAGTTGGGCCCGTCAGAAGCATGCCCCCATGCATCTTATATGCTCCCTCTGGGCTGTGTGAAATGCATCATGGACCACATGAAACACCTCCTCACGGCTTCCATATGTCTGAATACAGAGAACACCAGGCCTGAGCACCAGCCGCCCGGCCCGAGGCAGCATGCTGAAGTGGTATCCTATCTTCAGGATTCCTGGCACTTACTTTTGTTCCCCATCTGTCTTCTCCCCACTTCAATAAACCCCCACTTAAGCAAGCTCTACCTCATACTTTGCAAATTGGCAATTCTCAACCATGACATTGTAAGTAGTTTTTGACTATGAGAGCAAGGTAAAGAAATTTCTATCTTCCAAGCATGGTGGATAGTCGAGTCTAGGAATTAGAAGCAAGTGATTTTGTTGTGATGCCCAGCATTGTTGGTACAACAGAGCTTGTCAGTTATGCTCTGATTACAGGTAACAAAACACCAGGAGAAATGGTGCTTAAACAATCAGGGTTGCTTGGGGGTTTACAACTCTGAGCGCTGGGTCCCTTTCTCTGGGATTCCTTGGGCTTCTCTGTCGGTCATCACAAAATGAGGTGGCAGCTCCAAGCTTGGAATCCTCATCTGACAATGTTCAGAGTGGGAAGGGGGAGGGGCTTCTCTTTGTGCAAGTCTCTCTCTTTTATGAAGGCAGAAAATCTTTCTTAGAACCGAAGCCCCCTCTTTCTCCTCGCAGACCTCTCGGCCTTCAGAAGCCACAATTGGAATCATAAATCCACACCCCAGCCACAAAGGAGCTCATAAATGAGAAATTCAGATATTGTCTTCTTCTGTATCAGGGGTATGCTCTGTCTTAGCTATGTGTTTTATTTTCTGAATTCTGACATCTGGGATCTAACTGACCCTGGAAGAACAGCCCTTCCAGGTTAACCAACTCCTAGAAACACCAAACAATTCACTTACCTTTCCACTGCCAGCCAACCAATCCAGACCCCCCCATAGCAGCCATATCTTTGATGAAACTTTCACACTCTCGCCACTATTTCCCTGCCCTAATCACCTAAGGCCAGATCCCAGACAGTTTGGGACGGACTCTGTACTCCAGAGTATGAAATATTTCAAATTAGCCAATCCCAAAAGTTGCTTGCCCTGCCTTATCTGTTCTTCCCACAGAAACCACAATCAGGACTCCTGCCCATAGCTCCCTCATCTCCCCCTGGCCCCTGGTGCACCCCCGCGGCCCTCCCTGCATGGTGCCCGCTTCCTCTTGGAAATTGTGAGCAACAAATCATTTTTTTCAATGCAAATGTTTCCTGACATGTTAGCTTTCCTGAACCTCAAATTTCCTATGAATACACAATATTTTAGAACAGGTTCTGTGGGCAACAAACCCGTCTGGTGGAGTTTTTTCTCCCAGGGAAAAACAATTAAAGGAAAGCTCTTTCTATAAGAATGAATTTATTCTAGTTATCTATTGGCCCAGATAAAATTACCCTAAGTACTAGGGTATTAAAACAACAATGCTTATTTAATATCCTGTGGTTTTTGTGGGTCAGGAAGCCAAGCAGGATTCAGATGGGAAGTCCTGGCCTCAGATGACATAGTCACTGTCAGGCTTGCTGGAGCCTCGTAACACAGAACTGAAGGTAACATGCCATGCATACAAATGAGCTCAGTTAATCTCATATCATTTCTTTGAGATATACACTATTTGCTAATATGATTTTAGGCAGGGATGTGGAGTCACAGAGTTATGGAGCTTATCAATGCCGTGTAGCTGGTAAATGGTGTCATTGGTCAAGATGGTGGCCTCTTCCCTCCCTTAGTCTCTCTCCATCACATGACTGCATTTTGACATCATCATAGCACTTGCTGATGTTCCAAACAGTCTTTGACGTTTGTCTTTGGAGACATTTGTCTCTGTTTTCTGGTAGAAAGCAAAATCCTTGAGAATAGAGACATTACTCATCTTGTTTAAAATCTTGATTTCCTAAAATCTAGAACAGAGTCATATAGTGCACGTATTCAGTAAATAATTATTAAATGAAACACACAGGTTGTGTCTGTTCTCCATTTTGACCAATAGAACGACTGTCAGGTGGCATAGGATGGAGGGGGGTCCCTCCTGTGACAACTCCTGACCTTGGAAGCTGCCCTACCTTTCCCAAGGTTATGCCTGGCCTCTGACTCTTGGGCAAGTCCCTTTTCACATCCTAAACCTTTCTGTGTGTGACTTTCAGTTGCTTACCCTTGCCTAGGAAGTCGCATTTCCCTCTATGTCAAGTTTCCAGCTTCACTGGTGTGACTTTGCTTTACTGAGGATATGTTATATTAAATCCCGTGGGATGACAAGTGGCTTTCCCCAAACCTAACAGTGATCGTTCAGAATTCAAAATTCAGAATCCATCTCTGTTTTCTTTTTCTCCTTTCTTTCTCTGTCTCCTATTCTGAGTCCATCTCCCATGTGATTATCAAGTTGAAGCAATAGCGGTGCTTATGTCCCAAGAAGTCTTTGAAACCAAGCCTTCCTTCCTCACCCAGGGACGCTTGAATGAGCCAGTTGAACTATTTAGTGTTGGCAATGGAATTTCCTGGCTAACAGAAAATTAAATGTCCCCACTCCCACTATCTTCTTTTAGAAAAACCTGTTGAAAAAGGTTTAGTATTTATAGACACACACACACACACACACACAGTGTCCTTTAAGCTTCATTTACATATGTTGCTTTATTTACATATGTTGCTTTATTTACTGGATGGCTCAACTTTTTCCACACAGCTTTTGTAAGTCAGAAGGGGTGACATGTCCTACTGCATTAGGACCCCCAGGGAGAGGACCCCAGACATTCTGGCTCTCCCCCCTCCTAAAACACAGAGAAGTGTGCTCTTGGGGATTCAGCATCCTTTTATGAGAGCAGAGCTGGAGGCCTGCGTGTGAGTGTGTGAGCTGTAACCTCGGTAATAGCTACTCTTTGTCCTTACAATAAACCTCTAATCCAACCTTCATTTCCCATGTGATGGGGAAATCTATTTTCTTTTATTACTTTCACTATGGAATCAGGATTCCGGGCTCATGGTATCACATACTTTTTATACATCGTGTTGTCATAATAGGGCTTTATAAATTGCATTGTGCTTCCTTTGGGACCAGATATTTTGATGGGAGAGAAAGATCAATATTTTCTGTGTTCAGGCTGAGACGCCATCTGCAGAGGGGTGGTGGTCAGCATCCTGCCTGCTAACCACCTGGCAGCAGAGTTTTTCTGGCGGTAGCTCATTGAGAAAACTGATAGCTTGCCCCGCCACAAGCTTCCTGCCGTGGTCCTTCTAGAGGGCATACAAGTTGCTGCTGTCCTGATTTTATTGATCTATTATGGCTCCTGGTTCAAGGAAGCTAACTTTGTGGAGGATCCCAGATTCCAAAGTTTCTCCAGACATGCTGGGTAGATTGTGTAAGATCCCACCAGGTGATCGCTTTTCATAGACAATCTCAGGACAGAAAAAGAGCATAAGTCCAGCTGAAGAATTTCAAAATCTGTAAGCAGAATAAATTCCAGACCAGGGTCATGGTAGAGTAATTCTCCTCAGATGCTACTGTCTTCACTAGCAAAATGTGTTCTCCTTCATATGTAGGGAAATGGAATCACTGAAGGAAAGAACTGGAAGGGTCTTTGAAGATCATTCAACACAACCCCTCTCACTTTCTTTATGATTTGAAGAGGGAAAGCGTTGCATCCAGGGTAATAATGTGAACTATTTATAAAGTATAAAATGGAGCGAGGGGTCCTCACTCCTGCTCCAATATAGTCTCATTTTGCCCATCAGTCCACTGATTGAAGAACTCTGAGG